TCTTGAGTACTACACAGTAAAATTGATTAAGTGTACATAATTTTAAATCCATGCTGTAGCATTTACTTTTGGCTTAAAAGGTTTTCGTTAGGTATAAAACTGATTATATTTTGGTTTCATGCTTAACCATGTATTTTTACTGTATTGAAATAGCCTTTGATCAATGTTAAAGCAAGTATACAGACAAATATGAACATACTTGACTGCTTTCTTCTTCCAAAAGTGAGCCACATACAGGCTTTCATAAAATAGTTTTGGACTTCACGTCATTGAAGAACTCATAGTTTTTTTCTCATATTCAAATATATGAATCTGACTCTATTTATCTGTCTCTTAAACTATACATAAATTACAGAGATTTAAACAACACTTGATTAAGAAATATCAATATATTCCATAAATATCAATAGACTTCTTACCAGCCGGGATGGAGGACCATGCCTCCTCCATGTAGGTACTTGAAAATCAGAGTAATTGCTATATCAGCTAAATTTTCAACACCTAGTGACATCTAGCCATCATACTCTATTCAGTTTTATGTTTACACTGTTTTTTCTGGAAGTTTTCCTGAAGATGCTTCTTGTTTTAATTATTATGTAAACATTTTTTAAGGAAAGCGGTTTGTACCTCATATAACAGAGCCAAGAAGAGATGGTACAGACCTATTGGAACTATCCCTTGAAAATTCATGCAAAGTACAATTTATCTCAGAACAAATGCACACTACTTTACATGCACTACACATTGAAACAAACACAATTTTTAAATTTTTTAGTCTTTGACATTTGCCCATGTACTGAAAACAACACTAACACAAGCTCTGTAAAATACAAGCTGTTCTTTTCTCTGCTGCTCTTTTCTCTGCTGCTCTTTTCTCTGCTGTCCTTGTTTCTCAAAATACCACAAATATCATTAGGTTCAATGTGTCACATCACACTGTGAAGCAACCTTGAAGATAACGTAATAAAATAATGTATTCACAGAATAAATTTCTTTCACTGCAACATTAAATGTATAAAGCTTAATGTTTACCTCTTGGAGATAGTGACATTATTTTTTGAAAATGGAGATCTAATCAGTTATGAAAATAATAAAATTAAGGCTTGAAGGAAGAGATGCATGCACACAAAGTAAAAGGCAATACAAAGCTCAAAGGACCATAACTTAGAAATTGTTAACTACAAAATTTAAGTTTGCTCCTTATACAGTCATAATATTTTTTACATATATTTTCAGCCAGTTTGGGCATATCTATGGAATTTATTACAGCATAAAATTTTGTTACTGACCATAGACATTCAAAATTTTTGAAGAAATTGTACATTTTCTGATACAAGAATTTAAGGGAATTATGAATGATTACATTACTACATATGTTTAGCACATACTTGTGACTGAGAACAGTGTAGCTTAATTACTCAGAAGCAGCAATTAAGTGTCAGCTTCACTTGCAGCTAATAAGATTCCTTTCTTCAAAATAAGGTAAGTGGACAACACAATTACCTGTGAAGTCGTACAGCTGAGCATAAAAGTTACATAAGTTCCTTCATTTTACTGTATGTTTGCACATATTCAAGAGTATGTTGGCCAAGTGCCATTTAATTGGTTTTTTTTTTTTGCTAAAGGAAATCTTTGGCTAAAGGACGGATCCTAAATCTGATTTAAATATAACAGTGCAGAGTGTGCATCTGGGTCCACACATATCTTGGAACTCTATTTTGGATTTTATTAGAGGAAGAAAAGAACTGCTGTAATCTTTTGTATAATACCTCAAACACACTACTCACAATCTGGCAGGGCAAACTGGGCACTAAGAGCCCTGGTAGAATAATTTCTTTAGCTCTTTTAAGGAGATTTCTGTATCTTTTTAATTCAAAAGTGATGCAAAGCAGAAAATGTAATGTATAAAATACAAACTTTGTTAGAAACCTGCTACAGTGCCTTAGTATGAGAGGAATCTGAGAAAAAAATCCTGTTACCCATTTTGTTTTGTACAGCATAGCATTTTCAAATTCACACAATGGATGGAATTAAGCGGGATTATTTCCTCAGGCCTAGCCAGAGAAATAGGTGTTTTTTTCCTTTCCTTTACTTCATGTACATTAAAATCAACCTTTCTGATTAGAAAAAGATGTAAAATAGCATACTAAGCCAGTCAATGAGGTGAAACTTTTGCTTTGCTTTCCACGAGAAACCGCAATCCCTGCCAACAAGCTCAGAACCTGGAAGCAAACAATCAGTTGCAGGGGCTCTTGGCATACATTCCCTGATTTTCTACCCAAATTGGCCATTTCTGTGGCAGGACACCTTGCTGACCAAGGGTACAGGGTTGGACACAGTTCAGACCACACATTAACGTTGCTGCTGTATTTGGAACCTCCGTGTCATAGCCGAGTGTGACAAAGTCACACTAGAGACACAGACCAACAAAGGCATCTTACAGGAAGGAAACTGAGCCTTAGAGTGTCAGCTGCTTCTTAAGGTTTGTCTGAAAAGTCAGGTAGAAGTTTTACTAGCATTCACCAGGAACAAGGTGGGACCTTTCTAAATAGTTGTTACAGAAATCCCTTCCCTCCCACTTCCTCATCCTAAAACTTTCAGACAGATGTAGCTCCATTACTATCAAGCCCCAAGGTTTAAAATTATGTACAATTAAGGAAAAAAAAATCTTCTCCAGGTGAAACAGTAAAATCAGCTTGTCATTATAATTTTTTAATGCAATTATATGTTTACATTTCAATTTTTATTCAAAATCATATAATAGCAATTTTTAAAAATTAAAAATATGATTTTTAAAATTGTGGAATTTCCTAAAATGTTGTAATTTCAGCTGAAGTTTGAAAATGTTTTAATAATTTGAGTGCTTGAGGTGATGAGTATCTCTCAAGGGAACTTCTTTCTAGGCTGTCTCCAAACCTCAGTCCCAGCCCAGGAAATGGTTTCCTGCAAAGATAAACCCTTCTTTACCAATTGAGAGGTTTTTAAAATATATATTTGTATATACTTATAATTTTGTTCCTAGAAATATCATCAAATAATCTCTTCACATGAAAGAATGGACACAAACACCATGCATGCAATAGCATGTCTTTGATATTATTTTACTGATTCCAAGCAGACAATACTGACACATAAACATAGCTATTTTTATATGAGCTAACTCTCCACAGTTGAAGTTCCACCACTCTGAATTTTTTTTTTAAAGCAAGTCTGTAGAGAAAAAAGAATCTGAAAGAGCATCTGGCCAACACCACTTGGCATCTTTAAAGACCAGGAGAAGGTTTCAGGACTCTCTCAGCAATTTTACACACAATACCAAACCTGGGGGAGTGGTGGGCATTCTGGAGAGCAGGCACACCCTTCAAAGGCCCTTGGTAAGCTGGAAACGTGGAAGAAACAGCTATCAAATGCATGAAGATCCAGAAAGCCAAAAGCCAAGTCCTGACACTTGCACTGGGACTCAATGCAAATCTGCAGAAAAGGATTTGAAGGCTTGTAATCAAATATAAGTCAGCAGTGTACCCTTGCAGCCATAAATGATGATAACATTGGGCTGTATTAGCAATGGCCAGCCAATGGGTCAAGAGAAGCAATTACCCTGCTCAGTGCTTGTGAGGCCACATCTGGAACACACTGCTCATTTTTGAACACCTCAGGTCATGAGAGGGATGGAGATGCTGGAGGAAGGGCAGTGGAAGGCCACTGACCCAGCCAGGGACCTGAGGAGAGGCTCAGGGCAGCACATGGTTCCAGAAGAGAAGGCAGAGGGGAAATTCAATGGCCATCCTAAAATTACACATTAGTCAGTTAGAGAAAAGACTTCAGGACATGGTGAAAGGGAAGAAAGCAGTGGTCACAAGACACCTCAAGGGAAATCCCAGCTGTGGATAAGGAAAAATATTTTAGTGAGGGTGATTAGGCACTAGCACAGGTTGCTCCAAATATATTGAATTGCCATCCTTAGAAATTTTCAGATTTTGCCTAGTCAAGGAAGTGACACAACTGAGGGTGTCCCTGACTTGAGGGATATCCCTGTCCAGGAGTTCCTTTAATGGTAAAATCATGTCTTACTCCAGCTAAAGGAATGTTTTTAAAGGAGTGTTTTTCCATTATTTCTGTAGAAATTTACCACCTAAAGACATTATAAGTAAAGTTATAAAATTGTGGAAATGACTCATTTTATCTAAGAATTTGCAGAATTGTACCATTTACCTTTTGTACTTTGCAGTAATTTAAATGCAACCTTCTTTATATTTCCAGTTTAAAATGACATGATATTAAGCTCCACCTACAACTTTTAAGGGAATGTTACCTTTAAATCCTTAAGCATTGTCTAGAGCTTCTTTATGAAACATAATAATTTAAAACATATGTATACATTGCACTTTTAAAACTGCATATCCATCTCAAAGCCTATGAAATTAAGAAAACACACTTATACATGCACATGCAGCAAATGAAGAGAAGCTTCCCTCAGTTAGACACAAATCCTCATTTTGGTACAATTACACACAGGCCATTAAAAATCCCTATATAGTGCTCACAAAAGTTCTGTGCATACAGTAAGGCAGCCAAATGAAGTTGAAAACCAATCCATCCTTGCTCAGTAAGACATATTAAAACCAGCTAAACAGATAGAAATAGCATTTCCTCTCTAAAGCAATTGCCTCAAGGTGTTCACAACTTATTCCAACTCCAAATCAGAGCCCAGGTTTACTTTAAAAATAAAAAGCATTGTTGAAACAATCAGAAGAGAGAACAAAAGCTTTCCTCTTTGAAATCACAGTAGTCCAGTATTTATTATCTGCAGGACAGGAAATGTATCCATTTTTCACTTTCATGGAGTAAGATGTCACAGGTTACCACATCAACATCTTCTTCTTGTACCTTTGTATGATTACTGAGTAAGAATACAGACATGTCATCTCAACATTTTTTTTTCTCAAATATCTATGAAAGTCCAAGAGCTTTATTTGACAAAGCTATCTAAGATGCAAAGGATCAGCCCAGGTTGTTTTCATATGAGTTTCACAAACTTTGGTTACAAATGAAACTTCAGTACATTAAATACCAATTAGCATTATCAAGATAAACCCAGGATAAAGCTCATTGTGCTTTTTCTTTTTCTTGGTGTTTGGTTTACATAAGGGAAGAGCCAACATACAGGGCTTCTCAACATTCACACATGGGTACAATTGGTAGAGGGTGGTGTATCTATCCGACTTTTATTTTCCTTAGCATCATTCAGAAGTGACTCATTACCAATCTGGCATTTGAAGACTTGTTTGTAGGCCTTCCTAAAATTTTCAGACAGAAATGCATATATGATTGGGTTCACAGAAGAATTGCTGTAAGCCAGGCAGTGTGCAGTTACCCTGAAGAGAAAGGAGGCTTGAGTCAGTGGGAAAACTCCAAATTCAGCCCAGAGATGGATCACGTGATGAGGCAGCCAGGAGATGCCAAAAACCACTACCACCACCAACACAGTCTGTGCTGTCTGAGACAAGGAAAGGAAAACACATATGTCTGATGAGCACTCAAGAAATCAGCTTTAAACCTACTTCAAAACTCCTGTTAGGATGAAAAAAACCAAAAACCACAACAAAAAAGTACACTGAGAGGGAATACACTGCAATATTTGTTACTGATTTCACCCCATTACTTATATGGGCTTTATTTTGCATAATGAATGGCTGCAAGGAGAACCCCAGCCTTGGAAAATGTTATAGTAAACAGCAAATGCACAACTTTCCTCAAAGGTGAAGAGTGATGTTCCTAACTCCCTACACAAAAGCTTAACCTTTTCTGAAGTGCACCTAAGCCTACTGTAAAATAATGACAACAGGGGTCTGTGGGAAATCTCATCCAGATCTGATGAATTTTAGTACCGTGCACAATAATTTCTGATTAAAATTTCAAGGGAGATCTATTATGCATGGAGGCAGCTGGTGGAAAAGCTTAGAGCTTGCTCAAGTGCTTACTAAAGCAAGCTTTTTGGAAGTGACTCCTTTAAACACAGAATTTCCACAGAATCATGCAAAACATTCTGGGATACAACTAGTGGGGAAAAAAAACGTAAGGGCTTGAAATTTCTGTTGATTGCACATTATCAAAACCAAGCTGGAAGTTAAAGTTCACCACCCAACACTAAATTTAAAAATGGAACATAAAATATCCTCAGTGCTGCTTCCACACTCCACTTCTACTGTCTATGAGAGGACCATCAATTTCACTAGATCCATTCTAGGCTCCAGAATCAGTCAGGAGGGACCCTGCTGGTGTGCAGGTGGTCTGTCAGGGCACAATGGAATTTGACTGTCAATATTTTCTTTAGCTTTCACTTACTTCAGAAACAGCAGTTAGTGCTTTGCAGTGGCCTAAGTAATCAATATATAGTCCTCTACCAAGTACCTCTTTCAACTAAATAAGTCTCCAAATAAAAGTCTAATAATAATTCCAAAGCATATTATGTCACGAGCCATTATAATTTCAATATTAGCACTTTATAATATAATTTTTCTGATAACTTCTTTACATCCAAAACTAACCCAGGGGTCACAGAGTGATAAATATTGCAGCATAGAAAATATGTAGATTTTTTGCTAGTTTATTGAACTTGGTCTATACTTCTTGAACTGATCAACACTCAGTAATAATTAAGACTGACCTAACTAATCAGAACATGAGTTAGCTTAGAAAAACTTATGGGAAAAACATTTTGATTTCTGTAGCAACAGGCCAAAATAACTTATGACAGATGCTGTTGTTGGTCAGTATAATCTCACAATAGAAACCAAAGGACATTAAATCTGCAGTTAATATAACATGGTTAGTCTAAAGCAAGCATCTTTTTTCATAAGACATTCCTCCACTTAGCCCTATGGAGTTTAAATCAGTTGCCACTTGAACAGCCACAAAGATATTTTCTTTTCAGGTCTTATCAGGAGGTTGTGTTCTAACAAGACTGCATAAATTAAGAGCAGTTTATTCTCTCATTGATGTGTTCAATGGGTTAATATTCCAAGTGAAAATAAATTTTCAGGATACCACACGTGCAATTACTTCAAAAGAGGCATCTACTTCAGTTTGCTCAAAATTCTGAAAAAAATTAACCAGGAAAATCACTGACATTCAATAGGCTGTAGATGCACCTGAAAGCAGAGGGTGACAATGTGTCTCTTGTAACTGTTACTAAAGGTATTTCAGAGCTGCAGAAAAAGCAATTTTGTGTTAGGAAATCTCACAACATCTGCTTTATCCCAATGTTCCTCCTTAGCCTAACTTCAGAGCTCACTTTTCCAAAATCATCCCTTTGTCTTGCAAGCAAGGTATCACTAAAGAGCAGCTCTTTTTTACTTACTGGGAGCTTGCTCAGGGTTTCTCATTAGCAAATAAAACCCACCTGAAATATATGACATTAATATTGATGCTTTGTGACCAAAACCCATGAAAAATAGAATTTAGGCAAATTAATATTTTTCATTATTTTTTTCCACACATGCAGAAAATTTATTTTAAGATTCTGCTACTAGAATGTTCATAAAGGTTTGAATAACGCTAAAAATGTATCATTACACCTGAAATGCATTCTTCACGAGACAGTAGAAGGAAAAGAAGAAAGACATGGTAGCCAGAGAGAGCACTAACAGACTCATGAGGACAGAGTCACTTTGAAAAACATGAGTTATGCCTTAGATTTAGAAACTCATCTTCTAAGGCAAAAAACCCATATGGATTGCTTTTTGGATTTTTTTTTTCCTCTTTGGCTACTGAGCCCTGATACATTGAAGAAGTCTTGATGATATCTGTAATGCTTTATCCTGAAGCTATGAAAGTTAATTCCTAGTGAGATCTACAATTTTTGAGTGTTAATGGTTAGAGGAAATGCAGAGATATTTCCAGTTTGAGAACAATTTAGATGAGAGATGGCAATGTATAAAATGTCTTGAAAACTATACCTTTGGCCCTGACAACATTAAATGCAAAAGTATATATGTTAAGTATTTTACTGAGTCGGGGCCATAATGTTTTTAATTCTAGGAATCAAAATCTATTGATTAGGATATTTTTCAAAAAAATGGGAATGCATAAATGAGAGAGTAGTTATTCCCTGTTGAGTCCATGTATATCTCATTTACATTGCAGGCACTCTCCATGCCCATATGAAAATAGTGATCAGATCAAATGAAGAGCTATAGCTTAAGGGGCTTTTCCTCCACATCCATAAAATGAGAAGTTAGTCAAATGATCACTGTGGTCAAATCTGCTCAAAAATCACAACCACATTATAACTGACAAATTCTCTGTTTAAAGGCATCTTTCAAATATTGTTCTAAATCATGAAGCTTATATTCTTCTTTAAAGACCTTTCATGATTCTATTTGTATCCAGTACATAACTCATGTCTTGAATGTAAGAGAAGAAAACATTGTGAGGAAAATCAATAGAAGAATTGGTGAATCACTAAAAGTTTCTTATTAGACTCCTATTGGGAAGCACAATAAATTTAATTTTAAAGGTCCCTCATGCAACCTAGGAATTATTCAGTAAAACAGTACAAAATCAGATAATTAAAAATAGAAAATTAAAAATCTCATAATTTGCAAGTCAGGGGAAAATATCAGTGAGGAAAAAAAGTAAAAAATTTAACACAAAAGACAGGTTGTCTCCCTGTGCCTAAGTTTCAGATGCGCTGAAGTTTCAAATATGAGGATCTCAGGTAATGGCTGGATGCAATGTGATGGAAAACCTGGATCAGAAGAGATTCTGATCTGTTAAGTTCAGAGGGACACTGAACATTTAATTAAATACTTCATTCTAATTTCTTCTCTCTGTATCAAATTAGCTTAGCCATAAAACTAAAATACACACAAATGAGTATTTGCAGTGAATGCAACATACCTTTTTCTTGGATGCTTCTGATTTCTTTGACATGTTTTTTAACTTCTTATGCAGATGATTAAGAACCTGAAAAGATTAATTTGCATCTCTTTATCATATTTCCCCAATTTCTATTCAAACAAAGTTCAAACCTGTGCATCTTAGAGTACTCTTGTGCTCTCCACTACTTCATTCAGTGATTCACTAACAGACATCACTGAACCAGCTTACACATTTCAAACACGCACAGTAGGAAAATGAAAATAATTACATATGTGAGTCCATGTGAACCAACAAAACCAACGCAGACCACAACTGAATTCTTACTAAAATATTCAGATGTATTACATAACAAATACATATCACAAATTAACAAGGAAATGGATGGAAATCTATCTTGTACATAGGATTAGCAATCTCTCTTCTTCCATAAAAAGTCAAAAGACTTGGTTTAGAATGACCTTTAGTGTGTGTAACATAGAAAAGTGTATGTTTTGAGTCAGAGCTTTTCTGAGTCACCTGTATAATTTGTTTCCTTCAGATGAATGCTTGATTAGTATAATCAAGATCCTGGCACTATTTGATCTTTGAAAGAAGCTTAGGTTTTCAAGAATAATTTATACTAAAATGAGAGATGACACATGAGGCATGACACATGAGGCATGACTTTTCACAACACTGTGATGATACTCACCATGCATCTTTCAGAACCCAGTTTTAAAAATACATCACTAAAAGGCTCATCGTCCAAGAGCAGAGTCCAAATTTTAACATAATTATTTTGCACATAAGGTTTTGGATAGAGGATGCAGAGATCTTGGGTTGGGGAAAAGGGCCCAAATTCAGATTCTTTCATATAATCTGGTGACATTTTCTCTGTGTTCTTGGGGTTGCACAGCTAACCACTATTAAGACAGACATCAGTCAAGATGATCTAGAGACTTTGGCATTTGAGTTTTATAGACACACATATTGATTTAAAAGAAGTAAGATGGTATTTATGAATATCCAGAGCTCATCAGCAGACTTAATTTTTTAGGTATCTACTCTTAGATACCAGAGAAACACCAACAACAATTAAAAAAAAGAAATTACTAATAACCATTTAATATTGTAAGTGCAACTCATTTGTGCCTGTCTGTGTACTACCCTGAGACTCACCCTGCATGCATTTCCTACTTGGAAACACTATCCAGGCCACTTCAGGGGGCTAACCTGAGCTAAGAAAAAGCAGTAGAAAAATAAATGGGCTTTCCCTTGGAGAGTCCCATTTTGACTTCATTTCTTTCTTCTTCAGTATGAAGCAGGCCCAAAGGAAAGAACAGAATCCCAGAAGAGGACAGAAGCAGAACAGGGAGATGACTGACTGGCTCACAGACTTTTTATTCACCTCCAATCACCCTGTAGAGACCAGCTGAATTGCTGAGTCCATCAGTGAAAAACATAAAACATAAAAAAGGCATGGGAGAAATGCAATTAAGTTCATGTCCCATCACTGCTGCTTCATCTCTCATACCCCTTTCACATAATTTACAGTGATGGGCTGTTTCTACTGGACCTTTGCAAATTCCATCACGTGCCTCCCAGGGATTCTCCTTCACACCCCAAAACTAAAGTGAGATAAAATCTTTGCAGAAATCAGAACTGCAAAACAGTTTTTAAAGTTAAAAACATTTTTTTTCTTCTGTTCTGAAACTTTTAGCACAAAGTTTTACATTGTATCTCCCTCCAGTTCAAAGAAAGATGCAGGAGACAAAAGAGGTAAATTGGACATTTGAGGGGGTTGGGAGGTGATGGAGAAGGGTTTTGTTGTCAATTTAGATTATAACCTTCAAATGAACCTTATCAGCTTCCCCTCTTTCGGATTACATACACATTTCATAAAATAAGTATTTGCAGTGAAAACATATTGGCATAGTATTGTACCAGATGGCATGAAATGTAGCAGCAAGACAAATAGGCAAGATGCAATTACTTATCAACAGCAGTGGAACAGCTCTCAAAGACCTACAGAGACTGCTTTTTCCCCATTGTTTCAGAAACTACATTCAAGATGGCTTGAGAGCCCTGACTGAGGACTTTGACCAAATCAAGTTGAGAAAGAGATTTTTTTCAACACAGGAGTGAAGAAAATAACTTCAACTACCTGTGCCTATTCACACAAGTCTACCAAACATTATGAAAGTTTGAAGTCTACAGTGTTAAAAGCCATGTTTGCTGTCTGGCATTTCACTGACCACACCCTCATTATCAGCCACTGAAAATCATGCAGAAGGAAAGCCTGCACAAGGTCACTGTCAAGTAAGAATGAACTTCTTGTTTTACAGATAATGTAAGCATTACATTCTGAACCACCTTTGTAGAATGAACCTGATTGAAATTCAAGTGCTATTGCCTGCAATCCATGTTTTAAATTCACTACTTCTATTGTCATCCTATTCTTTATCCTCTTTCAATTAAGACTGTGTTACTAACGTGTCATAGCTTTTATTTTTCTCTTTCAGTGAAGTTTAATAAACTTTTCCCCTTGCTGCTCAGCAAAATTTAGGATTTAATATCCAAAGCCAGATAAGCTTGTGTTTTATATTGAGGCTGTTACTTTTTATAGCTTAGTTTTAACCAAGTCTGTAAATCATACATGATATGAATTCAGAATGTTCAGAATGATAGATAACAATGGAAACATTCTTAAGGCAAGACATATTTGTTTTAAAGAAAGCTTTTAACATTATGCATCTATAAAAGGAAATGTTTGCTAATAACTACAGGTGTCCAACCTAAAGGTTTGATTGAAAGAGGCCTGACTTACAAGGAGTGAATCCTTGAAAAATGGAGGTACCCAAAATTAGTTGTAAGATTGCACAACCCTGGCAGATGTCAACTGTTAGAAGCTGCCTGGGAATCATTTATCCCTTTACCCTTTAAGGACACATTAGTGAGCAAATGTTGTAGCACTGTTACGAACACATACAAAAAGTCAGCATTACAAAAATACAGCAAGTAAAAAGATAAGCAATAAAAGAGTCAGAACACAAGGTAAGTACACAGTGCTGAGACCCAGCTGATCACTACATAACCACTGCTCCTCCCTCTGACGTAGTGACCTTCTTTCAAGAGTACTTCTCTGAGGAAACAGAGAACATAGAATTAGCAACATCTCTTCTTCCATAAAAAGTCAAAGACTTGGTTTAGAATGACCTTTAGTGTGTGTAACATAAGAAAAGTGCATGTTTTCTATTGATTTGTGACTTTTTACGGTGTTCCCAAAAAGATGTGTCTTCCCTGTACATCGCTAAGACCTCTTCCTTTTATGGCTTGTCTGGTGTTTAACAGCTGAATGCAAGAAGACTCCTTAAAAGAGAGAGGATAATGGAGACTCTCCACCTTCTTCCTTGTCTGCTATTCTCCAAAAACTAGGGAAGTACCCTTCATTCTGATATTTTCACTCCTCTATCAAAAATTTGCATTGAAACTGAACTACTTGTGGAAGAGAGAAAAGAGGTAGCTGTACACACAAGACAGAGCATGATCTCATAAATCTCTGCCTGAGGAGCATGTATCACCATGAGATATTTTGGGAGGACACTGCTTCCAAATACCTGGCACAACTTCAGCACTTCTGTACATTGTAATAGCATTGTTATCCATAGAAAAAATAAAAATCTCTGCTAATACTAAATAAATGTGAAATGAGAAAGAAAAAGAACTTGGCTCCCTATTAGAGTGTCTAAAAAATGAGACTTTCAAATCTGAAAGTTCAATTGCAATTTGTTTATGAAAGAGGCAGAACTGCCTTAAAGGAGTCTGGAAAAGGCAATCTATTCAAATAGAGAAATAAGTGTCATTTGTCTTAATTTACAGCAGCAGAAGATTGCGTTATCTCGCTGATCCACAGTTCATGAAAACCAGTGAAGTCCATAAGAAACTAATGCAGAGATTAATGTCTCCTAATGTCTACAGACTGAGGGAGTTGGGGTTGCTCAGCCTGAGAAGGCTCTCCCTGTCCCACAATACTGCAGTTGGAGGTTTGTCAGTGGCTCCTAGAGAGGGCAGGAGTGAGTCTTGAGCTGCAGGGTACAAATACCTTCGATAGCTCTGTACAAATCACGGCACTTTTCAGCCTGTAAACTGATGGGAATACCAAGTATCTCCTAGCTATCTTCTAAAATTCACCCGTTCGGGTCAGCTCCTCCAGCCTGACACCAAGGCAAGCAGGATCACACACACAGGCTCAAAACACATCACAAAGCCAGAGTGAGACCCTAGCCTGGCAATAGTTTAAGCACACAATTTTATTGCAATTTCAAGTGGCCTTGATTTTATTAACTTGTTCTTGGGCATATTTTTCACATAGACTTGCTTTTGTTGGCTTGGAGGGGTTTTTGTTGGTTTTTTTTTTAGCTACCTATTAATACTAATATTGAGAGATTTACTTCTGTAGAGGTGCTTTGTAATGACAGAGTGTGTTGTATTTACTATTCTGGTTAAGCATATTTGCTTTTTTCATGCCTACACTGTACAGGACTATGCTAATTTTGAAAGATTTCTTTTTAATCTTCTCTCATATAATTAGACTTCAAAGGCCAGTACTTTATGCTGAAACAGAAGATGCTTTGGCTCTGAAAAAGAGAAGAATTAGTACCTGAAAGCCCCCTGTTCACACATTCTATAGTGTTCTCCCTGCAATGTGCAATACTTTCCTCAAACTGACAGTCTATCACTACAGCTCAGTCATATTCACCACAGTAGATGAAATAGCAGTGTATTCATTCAGGGAAAGCAGGATTTGGTTTATGTATGAAAACTTGTGTTTCTGCTTCATTTGCCAGGTTGCATTTTTTCCACTATGAACAGCCATTTAGAAATGTTGTCCTTTGCGTTCTGCATGCCTTGGTTTCATCAGAGTTGGACAACGTTTCAGCCTCAATTTGCACATCATAATTAAGCTGATGTAATATATGTGAAACTGAGCAGAACATAAAATTACTTGTTCAAATTAAATACTTCAGGTACATCTATTGAACTTGCCAGTTGAAGAACTGAATTAAGCAGTCGGTATTTGCAAGAGCAGTCCTATCCTCTCAAATGTAAATCACTGCCTAAGGAGAAATCCTGCAACTGAAGGCAGCTGGCACAGAAACAGCAAGATACCAGCAGGTAGCAACTGGTGCTCCAGATCCTGTTCAGCAGCAAGGAGAGGATCGTATACTGAAGGCTGCAATTATTACTCCAGAAAAATGTGACAATTTGCTTAAGGAGAAGTGTCCTTAAATACTCATATTCAGGCACCCTTAACTATTGCTTTTTCCTACCTGGGTTCTCCTGCCCTGCTCCCTGGAACGACCTGCTTTTGCCAAAGTCAGAGGTAACTCTCTCACAACTTCAACTGAGGCAGGACATGGCACCACAGGGACCAGGCAGCACAAAGCACATTTTACTCAGATAATTTTTTTCACTTTGAAGTGCACTGCACATTTTAAAGAACCACAATGCTTCATCTGAAGCATGAACAACTTGTTGCTTTGTTGTACTTTATTGAGTAAAACTCCTCACGCAGCACTGCAAGAAATTAAGAGTTATGGTGACAGAGAAAGCAGCAGAGCACGGGGGCTTCTTAGCATTCTGTAGCAAGCAAATCTGTCCCAGTGATTGCCGGAACACCCCTCCCCACTCACTCCATGCAATCCCTGTTTTGACCTCTCTGTGATATTGAACATACGTTATCAGCCCTCAGACATCCCTCAGCTATAAAACCTGCCCTTTCCCTTTGTGGCACAATCTCACCCCTGCTCCTTTTTCTCCCAACATTGACAAGTCCCTCCACATGCCCAGAAATGTTCCTATGGCTCATGGACACCTTTTCCACCACTGTGTCCCTCCCATCCTTTTACACTTGCCCCACCTTGGCATAGCAGAAGGAGATGAGCAGCAGCGGGAGCAGATACCCGAAGACGAACGTGCAGATCACGTAGACCTTCTTGTGGCGTGGGTTGGGCCAGAACTCCCAGCAGAAGGTCTGGTTGCTGGTCTCGCGGTGGAAGATGCGCTGGTGGTGAGCCACGGGCGAGGCCATGGCGAAGGAGAGCGCCCAGATGAGCCCCACGCCCAGCATCGCGTTCCGGGGCACACGCAAGGCTGAGGAGCGTCGGGAGTGCACGATGGCCACGTACCGGTCCACAGACATGGCCGAGAGCGTGAAGATGCTCACCAGCATGGAGATGGTGAAGAAGTAGTGGATGAACTTGCAGATGAAGGCTCCCAGCACCCAGGTGGGGAGCACGTAGACCGTGGACTGGAAGGGGATGCAGAAGAGCAGGTAGGCCAGGTCGGCGATGCTCAGGTTGAGGATGAAGATGTTGGTGGTGCTTCGGCGCTTGCCTGGCTTGCTCCTTGCCAGCACCGTGATCACCAGCGTGTTGCCCAGCACCCCCAGGGTAAAGATTAAACCGAAGACGATCAAGGTGATGAAGTTCTCGATGCCGATGCCGAAAAGGGGCTTCCCCTCCGCCTCCGGCAGCCCGGACAGGTTGAACTCCCCGCGGGGCGTCTCTGCCGCGGCTCGGGACAGGTTGAGGGGCGCCGCCGCGGGCTCTCCGGGCTCCATCCTTCCCTTGCGCGCCGGGCAAACTTCCCGGCACCGGGGACCGCGGCGATCCCGGGGCGGCCGCCCCACCAGCGCCGGCGGCGGGCAGGGAAGGACGGAGGCGTCGCCGCGCTGGGCGCAGCCTGCGCTGCCGGGAGCGGAGCCGGCGCGGCCGCCCCGCCGCCCTCCGCAGCCGCGCTCCGCCCGCCCCGGCACCGGCACCGGGCCCGCCCCGCCCGCGGAGCCTCCGCGCCTCTGCGCTGCTCCGGGAGACTGAGCTCCCCGGGAACGCGTTTTCTCAGGAAGGGGAGGTGGGGTTTTCTTGCCCTCTTTATTTCCCCCCGCCTTTTCTTCCCACCCTTCAGCCTGTAGGTGTTCCCCCACCCAGGGCGGCAGCCGGAATCCCGGTCTTCTCCCCGGAAAACTTCTCTCCGCTCGGCGCCGCCGCGGCCAGGGAGGCTCGGGAGCCGTGTCTCCCAGCAGGGCTAGGCGGCGCTCGGCTGGTCCGCCCGGGCATCAGTGAACTCGCTTGGACAGACAGAAACGATGAAGCGCCCGTGTGAACCCACCTCAACAGGTAGCCGGCAGCAGGAGTTTCTCCAGACTAAGCGCCGCCTGTGCTCGCTCCTCTCACCTCCTTCACAGGTTTCCTCCATCAGTCACTGAGTATCTCAAATGACAAAAGGCGGCAGACATTGTCACGCCTTCCTATTAAAAACCCAAAACAACAAACCAAAAACCACACACACACATAAAGCAAAATAATTGGAGTAGGAACTCTAGCCGCTTTTCGCTGCCAAATCGCGGCGTTCAGGATCTCCGCCGCGGCAGGAGCGCAGCCGTGCTGGGCGCCCGCGGGCTCTCGGAGCCGGGCAGCCGCGGGCAGCGCTACGCGGGAGCTCCTGGAAAGGCAGTCCCTGCAGAACGGGGTTAAACATGGAACTTCCTCCAGCACACGGGTGCGAGTTCATGAGAATATTGTCACCGGCACCTTGTGAATGAAAGGGATTTGCCTGGGCTTTTATATCAATTTGTTTCCAAATTACCAGTCAGTGAGCTACAGCTGGCAGCAGCAGTGACCAACAGAACTGCCCAGATGTGCTGCTAGAGGCAGCGAGCTTTTGTTCGCATATTTTTCGATGTGCAGTTTGACAGGGGTTTTTTTCTCCCTTTCTTTTTGCTACTTGTATTGAAGCATCCCAGCAGCTGCCCATCAGCTGAATGCAAAGCCATCGGCTTCTGCAGATCTAGATTTTAATTAAACTAATGTATGGTCTGCTCCATTACGTCTGACGGAACACATCATGGGAGAGCACAATTCAGTTTATATAGGTCTAAGAATCTTCTATTTGGATTGAGCTGGTTTCTACATCTGTTGTAACTAATCTAAGTATTTATAAATATATCAAGCAAAAATAAGCTTGTAGGGATTCCTCAAAGACTTGGATTTGGAATTTTTTGTAATGCGCATTCTTTACAATTTTGTTGATGCAAATCTACTAGTGTCTACTTCTGCAAAGGGTGTGAGAAAGAACACTGTTAAACATTTCTAGGATACATCAGATATCACACGCTTTTTGGAAAGTCTCTGAATATATTGTGAAAATGAACAGAAGTCTGTAGATTTTCCTAGTGTTGCTGATGCCTGTGTTTGCCTATAAATTCCTTCATGTGGTGAAGGAGATACAAGAAATGCTTTGAATACGACTGATGGTTTGCTTTTGAATCATGTCATGTTGCCAGACACCACTCATTTTCCAGGATGTCTGGAGTGCAGCCCTGGTTTTGATGAAGTTAATGCAATCCTGCATTTGATATGCTGCTGGTCCTCATCACTCACACTTCTGTTTTCTCGCAAAATAATATGTTTTGTACAGAATAGCCTGGAAGGTTAGAACAAAGGATATTACACTTAGCAGAAAAGTAAGCAGGAAAAGTGGGTATAGAAACAAAATCAATTTTAGCGGGAATCAAACTGAAAATCACATTAGTGATTTGGATGGGAGAGTTGACTATTGGTTTCCTTTGGATATTTAATTGAGAGTTCTGTGGTTCAAGCTTTGATTTTCTGCTATGAATATAAAGTTCCTATACAGTTCCTATAAGGCTACCCTGAGCATTAGGGGGGAATAACCTCAAGAATACAGCTGTGTTGTAGCTTTTCTCTCAGGCCTCCTGGCATCAGCTTTTACATGAATGAATGAAGGTTCCCACACTGAAAACACTCATGATGGCTGTTAAGATTGTCATAACCAAACAGGTATTGACATGTTAAACCACTGTTCTTCTTGTCTACACTGAGCAAAATTTTCATGCAAAAGAAAATTGAGATGGAAAAGCTGTTATGAATTCAGTACAAATAAATATATAGTTAAATACAGGAACTAGTTGAAAAACTAGGAGAAAAAAAGTAGTAAAAATATTGCATTGCACTTTAAGAAAATAAATTTCATGTCTTTGCAAAAGAGATCTCTTCAGCATGTGCCTCACACATTTCCTTGAATCTAGTGTTATTTAATTTATTTTATTGTTTTCCTGAACACTATTTGATGTGAAAAGATATACTTAAACTAAAATAGCCTAGGAACTTCAGAAAGAGCAAGAAACTGCATGCAGTGTTCTTCTGTCTGTGGCTAGAATCCACAATCATCTTTATCACAAAACTCGCCTCCAAAAATTTGTTTGGCTCCAAAATTTTTCATTGCAATCAATGGAGAAAATACTAGAAATATCTAAAAGGGATGGGAACCTACGAAGCCTGCTAAGTCTAGGCTTTCATATTTACTCCTCAGTGGGTTAATCCAGAAGATATTACCGTAAAAACATACAAGGATGTCCTTCTTTTTGCTCACTCCAATGGCTGGTTATGTTATTTTTATGTTGTTCCAATAATAAAAATATTTGACTTACACTGGCAAAATTTTATCTCAGGAATGAGGATTCCAATGCATTGATTTAAAAACTTAATTACTACTAAGCTCTTTGTTCCTATTTAATGCATGCATATAGGTATAATAAACATATAGTGAATATAATGTCAGTAAAATGCATTTATATTTTAAAATGAGCATTTTATTAGCACCTCAGAAACGATTAAAAAATGCACTTTTTAGTTACTGTCCCACTTTTGATTACATTGAATAACTGAGGCACAAAAACCAGCATCTGATTATACAAATACATACATAGATGTCTGTATGCATTTTATCATTCCACAAGAATAAAATAATAATATACACAACTTCTTCAGAGAAGAGTTTTAGTAAAATCCTGTATAAATTCTACTGGGGCCATTTGGGAGTGTTTTCAGGCTTTTTTCCATAGTGAAGTTGAAGCTGGAGTTGAGATTCAAGGCTCTCAACTGCACAATGGTGTCAGTAAAGAAAAACCATTTAAAGTGTATTTATACTAAAGCATATGAGTAACCCTGACTTTTAGAAATTTTTGACAGCTCAGTCCTTAGCTCATTGTTCACTTTTCTTTGCTGCAAAAAAGATTTTCCAGATTTGGTCATGTTTTGTTTATAAAACACAAGACCGAAAACAGGTCTATTTTGAAGACTGACTCTTTTAATTTATTCATGAAACAAGATCAGATGCAACAGTCATGTCCATCATACCCCGCTATTTTCCTTTGTGACAAGTTCCTGGAGTAGAAATTTGTCTTTTAAAGGTGGATGTGAACTTCAATTCAAAATTCAAGATAAAAAAGTCCGTGATTCATAACCAATCTTTGATTCGCCTTCTATAAAGTTAGTATGTAGAACTCAAGCATCTATATCCTTTATTCCCCTTTTATCTATATTCTTGGGAATAATATAACCCTCAAGTCACAGTTGTCACTACATTCAGATTTCCATAGTGGAGAAGTGTCACCAATAAATTGAAGTTTATTGCTTCTTGCTGACATTTAGAAAGAAGTAAATCTGCCCATATACATTTGAGAGCCATTGTCATTCCATCCCTGAGTCTGTGCTGATTTTTTTGTCCTCCTAGTTCTCTACTCCAGTTCTTAAAAATCAGTTCCAAAAAATGTTAAAATGCAGGCAATCAAAAATAAATTTGGAGCTAAGTTTCCAAAATCCCATTCTATATTTTGTGCTTTCAAGTTTTTAGGCTTAAAAATTGTACATAAAAGCATGTATCCATTCTTTATTCAACACCCAGAAATTTTCTCTGTAAAAAATGCCAAAAGCTAAACACCATGGTCTAACAACTTGAACTTGCTTTATAGTTGTTGAAGAGAGTTGCTGGTTTCATTTTCCTTGATTTGTGACAATTACCCCATGGGAGGCTTTTTAATGCTGGCTGCAGAAGCAACTCGCCTGTGCATGGAAACACAGCTGTGTTTTGTCTAAAACAGGACCAAGTGTATTTTGGTGAACACTTGTAATACAACATAACACAATAGATCAGGTCTTACTAAACTCAGGAGAATGCAGCAGGTATCCAGGTCATGGGCACAGCAGCTGCAGAAGTCTTTTAAATGGAAAATTGCTCCACCTTCAAACTGCTTTGTAAAATGTACAACTGACTGGAGTGAGGTCATAGGGCTTATGAAAGGCTTCAGTTCTGTAAAAGGAGCATCATGTTTCTATATAGGAAAAAAGCAGAAATATGGGCTCAAGGAGCTACCTTAGCCATGATGTTGGCAAACATCAAAATTAACAGGGCTGAAAGAGGCGGCAGTAGAAAGAAGAAGCTTGGACAGCGTGATTCCAGCTGAGGCAGGGGTGTGCTGCTGGCAAAGCAGCCAGGAGTTTGCAGGTTGCTTTGTCTGGGGTCAGCTCCAGGCACAGGCAGAGGCAGGGAGCATCTGATGTCAGGGAAAAGGCCAGGACCTCACTGTCCAGCCCTGGAGACCTTGGTCACCAGGGCATTTCTGTGGCAAAGGGAAATAACAGGTGGGCAGTGCACAGTGGATAGAGACAATGGACGCCTTTCCCAGCACTTACTGCTGCCTCTACACTCTCTTCCATCCTGGCAGCAGCAGTAGCAGCAACCTTGGCTCCTTCAGGCTCT